TCCTTGCACTACACTTTCACAAAACACGTGTGCTCTGGTCGGCTGCCCGCTAGGAACTGATCGATCTTACCAGCTTAAAGTTGTCCCGACAAATGGGTGGCTGGGGGAGAATTTTCGAAATGCGGTCACGTAGCGCCCCGTCGGCGATCACGTAGCGTTTCCGTCCGAATTGTCGGATGAGAGGACAAAAACTGGGAAGTCTCCAGCGGAAACCGGTTAGGGGGGAACTGCGGCGCGGATTAGGGGATGGGGATTAATAAATGTGACTGCATTGCCAAACCGGTTGAAGTTTATGTTTTCCGTTGCGACCAATCCTGTAAAACGCAACATAGTTGTGAGAGGTAAGCGTTACAGAGTGTTAAAAAGATACGAATAGCACACTAAACTATGTACAGTCCAGATATCAGTACAAGTCAAGCGGATTCCAAAGATCGACAAAATTTTGGAGGCAAAAATGCAAAATTTAAGGCGAAGATCGCTGTAGGACGTCTGCGCTATCAAAGGACGTGTTCGAACGTCTACCCTAGTACCTTGCAACTCTTAACCAGGAGTTTCTCAGCCTATAACGCAGATTCTTATGGATGAAAACAAGCTCCAAGTAAAGAGTAGTGGGCTTCCCCCACCCTTTCTATCGAGAGATAGAACAAAATGTCAATAAGTTATGCGCAATGAATCCGTCTATCCATATTTGTACTGTTTAATATACCTGAATAGGAAACATTTCTAAGAAAAATTCTACTTTATGTTTTGGTATGTAGATTGCGCCCCCTAGCGGCCGAGCTACGAACTTGAAAACTATTTCCAGCCATTTTTCTTGGTTGATTTATTAGTAAAATTTTTTTTCCCGAAGTTCTAGGGCTTATACTTTCCCTAATATCGTACCTCGCCGACCTTAGCGGGACACCCTGTATATTAAAGACAAAAGTTGGTCGACTGTAGAAGCCTCAATTGTGATTTCTCAAAAAACGTTGATTTTAGCAACATCTTACTTGTGTGAAATTAAATAAAACCAAATTTAAGTGTAATGGAAACGATATCGCTACATTTGATTTTAAAAAGTCATATTTGACATTCTCTATCTCGAAAACAAAAGACGATAGACCCATGGTCCGTAGAAGAATCGCCGTATTTCTCTATGTTCTATAAATCCACAAAATCGCTATCAATTGATTTGGTTGATGAAGGCAAACGGGACACCCCGTATAGACCGTGCTATTGTTATTTACTAGATTCCGTCGCGTGGGACTTAGAAAGAATTTTTTAATAATCGGTTCTCGTTGCTAACAGAGACGTCATAATTAAATTCCTCTAAATTCTTCACACGATCGTCGACGGAAGCCGTGAATTAAAAAGTAGGCATTCACTTGTTTAAGATGTTCTTTGGCGTGCGCTTTTTATCTAATTAAAAAGCACGAATTCCGAGATTAATTGAATTTTGAATCGATTGCTGTTTGATGGAAGTAAATTAAAATGTAGGTACTTTGTTTTTCCATAATACTCTTTACATTATGCAGATAAGTTACTAAAACTTTTTTCTGCTTTTGATATGATCGTCATTATTATTGAATAAATGCTTTTTATGTAGTTTTATGCCCCTGAATGTTCGACGTAACTAGCAACGTTTTACGACATGATTTACAACGTTCCCTACTCATGAAAGCAATAAAAATTTTGTCCCGACGTCACGAAGAGCATCAAAAGATATATATTTCTACAATTATCTTAATGTACAGTAACTATATTTTTTTTTTTATAATACACATATATGGTTTAAACTTTGGGACTATTTTATTCTAATTTTCCATTATCCACAGTAAAATAATAACAAAGACGTAAGTTATAAGTTTCCTTCTCATCTTGCCTGGTTTTATTACAACATAAATATCTGTTTCTTTGAGGCAAGTCCGAAGTAGATTATCTTCTCCGGCTGTCCATTTGTCTCCGTGAAAAATAACAGGCAACTTAGGGCCTAATAAGTTATAAACGACCCTGCACATTTTCTCCGTCACGACACTAATGACACTTATAAGAAGTTTTTACAACGTAATGTAATATTAATATGTCCAGAGTGACAAACGTACGACTAAATAGTTACCTTCTTGGGACACTATTCTCGTCGTAAATCGTGTACGAGATAACTGAATTTGAAATGGCGTTTCACCTAAAACAAGCGAAAAATCGCGTATCTCTTTATCCTCAAAGCCCAGTAAAAAATAGTAACCAATTTATAATAATCGAAAAAGACCGACCGAATTCTTTAACCTCAAAAATTGAAAAAATGACCGTCGATGTGTACCGCCATCTACTAACGATTGACCGAACTTGAACCTTCAAGGTGATGGACATAGATGGTAGTAGTCTGATCAAATTTGCAAATATAAGGAAATAAATAAAAATAAAATATAATATAAGAAACGTAAACTTATGGAATCATAGTTACAAATATGTACACCTAACTACACTGTGGGGAAAAATATTGGTAAATTGTGAAACAATTTGAATTCGGCCTCTAAATACGAGAATTCGTAGCGCCATCTATTAACCAGTCAGTTAATTAGAAGAGTGGGGGTAATGAAATTAGATGTCGCTGGCATTACTTTACCACCACTTTTATAAACCAAGAATGTACAAAAATGAAAGATCATAATTACAATGTACAAATAATTACATTATAGGGATTAATTTCGGTAAATTGTGTAAAAATAATTGGATATGGCATCAAATTATTCTACATGGCGTTATCTACTGACGATTCAGCAAACTAGAATTTTCATGGAAATTGAATTAGATGGCGTCAGCTGTTGTTGATCACAAATGTGTTCATAAATACAAAAAGAAAACAAAATGTGTTATAATCGCAAATTAATTTTAAAAAAGTTAAATTCTGAAATCTTAGTTACAAATATATACAATTAATTACATTATGGCTATTAAAGTATTGGTAAATTGTTTCAAAAATTTTAATTTTATTCAATTTGACTATAAATGGCCTGAATCCAGGTAAAAACATATCAGTAGTAGTCTCAGTTTTCCTTTACATTCTGCGGTTTGACGGAAAATCGTTGTAAATAATAAAATAATTAACAATTGTAGCTCTGTAAACCACCGATCAAAATAATCGGATTTGTGGCGCCATCTACTAACAATCTTGCGAATTAGAACGTTCAGAATAATGACGTGAGATGGCGCGAGCGTTAAATTCAAACTACAGTCACTAGATAACATATCTAGTGACTGTAATTCAAACCAAAATGGCGGTTTAACGTAAGTCTGTATTTATTGGATTTTAATTGTTATATTTTATAATTGCTTAATGAATTTCTCAAAATATGAGACATTTAATTAACTCGTATATACATAATGTATTAAAAATTCAAACTTTTATTTCATGGTGGACACTGTTGGCAGAAGGGATTTTGCCCCAAAATGTCAGTTGATTACGTTTGATTTTAATTCAAAATTTTAAGACATATTTCTTATAATTATGTGGATTTCTATCTGACGTATATGACAATATTTAATATTATTTATCAAAATTGTCTAGTTAATGGGAATTTTTTCTCCCTCATTTTCTTACTCTTGTGACATGAAATTTAAATGTGCAGATTTGTAAAATAGCTTCCAATTTTGCCAGTCTTAGAAACCATAATATCTAATTATTTTTTCCTTTGTTTCATGTTTCCCCAACTTGCCCGCTACGACCAAAAAACAGCAATTCGTGTGGAACGAATTCTGCGAAGAGTACATCCCAACGGACAGAAAACACACTTACTACCCCTCGGTCATCACGAACGAAAGGCTGTACGAAATAAAAATATCGGACCTGCCCGTAATACCGTACTTCCCAGTCAATTCGTACTACGAGTGGGCCAACTACAGGTATTACGGCTTGCGCAGCGCCACGGCTTACATCCTAGTCTTCGACTTATCCAACATCGACACCTTCCAATACGTCCGGACGCTGAGGGAGCAGATCTGTGAGTCCCGCAACATGCAAAACGTCCCGCTGCTCGTAGTGGGCAACAAACAAGACCTCATCGTCCCCGAGGAAGGCACCAGTAACAGCTCGAAACCCGCTATAGCCAGCGGGACGGACGAGAAACGTAGGGATATAGTAAACTTAGTAAAAAAGCACTGGAAGTCCGGTTATATTGAGTGCAGTGCCAAGTACAACTGGAAGGTAGTGGCGGTTTTTAAGGAACTGATTAATATGATCGACAATTTGAGCAGCAGGGATCAGAGTCCGATGTTGGACAACATCCAGGAGGCGTTAGATAGGAATAAGTGTGTCGTTATTTGATCTGTTTTGAAAATGGTGTGTTTCATTTACGAAAGCTTGGGGAAGTGTTAGGTTCAAGCGTTAGGTGAGCTCAACGTTTACGATGTGATTATAGAGGTTTAAAACTGAAGTTGTTGAAACTGTTGAACCGTTTTGCGGCTAATGTTGTTCCGATGTGTTTTTTTATAAGACTTACGCTTACGTTTAAAAGCCTACCACTTGTGTAAGGTTTCCGTCGCGTCATCTACTTAATTCTCCTTCGACTGTGTGCCAATAATTTTTTTTAACGAAATAAATGAATAATAGGTATATCAAGTGGTGATCTTTTAACTGCACGCCCTGGTTTCTTAGCGTTTTTACACCCTGTATGATAATATCAAACACAATTAATTCTTGATAGTATTTTCTCTTTTATACTTTTTTATCTATCGTTGACCCTTATTTAAAAAAAAACTTTACAAAATCAAACTATGAATGCATTTGACACGTTGTTATTTTGGCTGTGAGTTTAAATTTTAGGATGTTTTTTGTACTTTTTAGGTGTTCGATATGTTTACAAAAAAATATTATTTCTAGTAGGGTCACTGCGCTGGTTCTTGATTAGTTTTCTCAAACTTTTTCCCAGTCCATTTTCCTGTTTTCGATCATAAATTGTTGTCAGTGTCGTTTTTTGATTAAAATTCTAATAAGGTGGTCAAAAATGAGATCGTTTAGGTCGAAGTCAAACGGCAATAGGTCGAAAACATGCAAAAATTGAGATTTCAACTGCTTTAATATCAGATTGTGGCAATTTACTCCAAAACAAAGAATTTTTGAAGTTTTTAAGGTCAAAAAGTCACCAAAATAGCAAAAAAAAAAACAGCGCAGCAATCCTAGTACAGGGTGAAACTATCCTATACTTTGTTCAGCAATACTACAAATATTATTAGACAATCGTACTGTAATACAAAATTGAATTAAACCCGTTCAACTTTGTAATATATAACATGTGAAACTTGCAAAACGTAAACTGTGGTTGTGAATTTATTAAGTTTAACTAATACGCCAAAATAAAATTTGTAGTTGAAATAACAAGGCAATAAAAATTAAACACGCAACAAGAATTATTTTAATCCCACCTTTGCAGGCCGAATAAATTATGAAACGCTAGGAACTATCCGATGAACGGTAACTGGTAAAGTATAGAGCGATTCAGTACGCCTACGGCTAACTTCACTTCATTCTGTCGATTTTTCTCCATAACGATCAGTATCCATACCCGACATTGTTTACAACACGAATCATGACTCAGAAATAGAAATTACTCATCTCGAAAGACCACTTGTTGATAAGAGAGTTCATTGTAATTGATAGATGTGCATGGGTGGAGCAGCTATTTGTGTCGGAAAGTTTTAAAGCGAAATGAGTAGCGAAATTGAAGTTTCGGAAACCCCGAACTGGTTGCAGGAATTAGAAGACAAGAGAGAGAGAAGACTGAAAGCGAGATTAGGCCACGAGACTGGAGCCGGCGCCCCTTGCTTGAAATGCGGAGAAAAATGCCCTGGTAAGTTTTGCAACTTCAGCAATTCTTTTGTTGGAATATAATTACTTTATCGTGTTGTTGATTGTTGAAGCAAATGTAGTTTTACTGTGCTATAAAAATTAATTTTTAGGACTGGATCTTCACTTTTGGAGGAAATGCTGTAAAATTTGCAAGTGCTCCAAAGAAGAACACGAGGTTCAAGATGACGATATTTACGGATGGGCCCAATTCCAGTTACTGGGAAGTAAACCCAATAAAATCAAGAGGAAGATAAGTAAGTTCCTCCAAACAATTAATTGCCGGTAGTTTTTTAAACATTAAATTATTTTCGCAGAGCTGCCTGGTAAAAAAGACGAGCTTGAACTGGACTGGACCCCGAAAGGCCACAATGAAACGGTGGATAAATACCTCAAAACGCTGCCCCCAGAACAGCTCCCTGTCAAGGGCTCCCAAGCGGCGCAGGACAGGAAACAACTCCTGCAAAAACAAATCCCTATCCACGACATCGACCCGACGCTTTGCCACGAACTAAGCAATGACGAACTGAAACAGATGAACGACTACATTTCCCACGTGAAACAAACTAGTGTCGGCGTGGGACAAATCGTGAGCTTGTCGAACATCATAAAAGCTAATCTGCACATGCTGAACCCCAGCGAGGCGGCTCTGATAGCCAGTCGTTACCCGAAAGGCATACCTCTGTCGGAAATCGTTAAACTTCACTCGCAAAACAGGGCCAACGCGCTGAAACCGCAAGGCGTGAACGAGAAGTTGGAGAAGCTTAATTTGCAGGAGCCTACGAACAAAATGCTACCTAAGTTGAAGCCGAATGTGGTCAGTACCACGGAAGTAAACCTTAATCCGTGGGTTTCGAACAACGTACGCGATATCAACTACCCCGGTTACACGAAAGATACGAATCAGGTGCCCACAAATGCTCAGTTTTCCGTCGGGTTGAAATCAAGACAAAGCAGGAACTATATCGCGGGTAGTCATCCAGATCAAAATATTCCTCCGACGATTGACGAGAACCTTCTGCAAAACCTCAATTTCAACCCGAAGAACGTTCCAAGTCAGTTTATACAGCAAAGCGGCCATCACGCACAGCCCTATCCATACAAAGTCGGCCAACAGAATGTACCGACTGATGAGCGTACACCCGGAAACGTTTCCAATCAGCCAAACAGCGCGTTCGCCCCTTACAACAAAACTTCAGGGTACAGACCAGGCGAGAGATATATCGGCGACAGTCCCTCGAGAAACCCCAACTATACTTCTAACGTTCCGAGACTTGGTTCGAGAAGTCCGAGCGGTTATCGACAAAGCGAGGTGCCGGGTTCTGAGCCTGAGACGAGTTTTATGGAGGATTTGGATCAGTTACACCCCAATTTCGCTAAACATCTCGCCAAGTACCCAAGCGGTCACAAAAAGGATGACCAGGAACAAAACTTTGGAACACCCGCTGAAAATAACGCGCTTAATTACGAAAACGTAGGAGAAATGAGGAAAAATAACGGACCAGGGTTACCGAGTTACGTACCGGGCAAGTACAACGTAGTTTCGGAAATGCTAACTCCTACTAAAGTGGGCAAAAACCTAAAAGATCTCGCGTTTGGTACTTACAACCCCAACGATCTAAATTCTACCAGACGAGAAAATACCAATGAAGAAAATGCTTTTGCGCCACCAAATTTGGCTTATGAGAACTACCCACCCGGGTACTTTGATAACAAATTTGGAGAGAATCAACTTAAAGTACCTACGGGCAGATATCCCGATTACAAAGCTCCACTCGACGAAAATGTACCACACGATCAAAATCTGCTTGGACAACATGAAAAGTCGTATCCAAGTGACAATATTCCCGCACAAGGCCCCAACGTACCTTTCGATATTAAGAATTCACCCTACGACCAAAATTTGAGAGGTCTGAAACCAGGACAGTATACCGGACCCAACGATACTCCACCAAATCTAGGTCTGAGCAACCCATACACTCAAAATGTGCCTTACCAACAACCTTATCAAGGTGGTAATGTTCCTACAGAGGGCATAAACGTGCCTTACGACCAAAATTCGAGCGGTCTGAGACCAGGACAGTATATCGGACCCAACGATAGTTCATCGAATCTGGGTCTGAGCAACCCATACACTCAAAATGTGCCTTACGAACAACCGTATCCAGGTGGTAATGTCCCTACGGAGGGAGTAAATGTGCCTTACGACCAAAATTCAAGCCGTCTCAGGCCTGGTCAGTACGCCGGTCCAGGCAACAGTCCATCGAAGGTGCCAAACCCTGACGTGCCCTTAGCACCGTACGATCCTTACCATCCAGGCGGGGTCATCCCAAGTCAACAAACCTTCTCGCCCGGCGCCAAACCTACTAAAAAACTGTCAGAACTGCACCCAGGCAAAATCAATATCGACGAGGACTACCTGCAGCCGAGCCAAGTGACCATCGGGGCGATCCAAGACATCGACTACCCAGAAATCAAGGCAGCTACACAGGGCACCAACGACTTCTACGAGGACTACAGCCCGGACAGCCTACGGGAGATCCTGAACAACGTAAAACTCCCCGACTGCCACTACTGCAAGAAACCGTTCGAGGAGAACGAGTTCGCCGTAACCATCGACAGGGCCAACGTATTGTTCCACGCGCAGTGCTTCAAGTGCGCCGGGTGCAACCAGATCCTCGCCGACAACGTCTACTTCTACAACAAGGAAACGGACAACGTCTACTGCGGGAGAGACTACGCCAAGGTGCGGGGCTTCCCCAGGTGCAAGGCCTGCGACGAGCTGATCTTCACCAAGGAGTACTGCCTGGCGGAGAACTCCACGTTCCACTTGAAGCACTTCTGTTGTATCGAGTGCGACAAGCCGCTCGCCGGCCAGGATTACACCCTGGAGGACGAGATGCCGTACTGCCTCCCGTGTTTCGAGCACAGCAAGGCGAGCAAGTGCAGCTCGTGCGGCAAGGTCATCAAGCCGGACGAGGTGGGGTGCAGCCTAAATACGGTGCATTTCCATGCCGTGGACGAGTGTTTCGCCTGTAAGGTGTGCAAGAAGCCGCTGATGGGGAAGAAGTTGCTGCTGCGCAACGAGAAGTTGTACTGCTCTCACGACTGTTTCGGAACTGATAGGAAGTAAATAGTAAGATAAGGTTTTTATATATTTTTTTGTCGTATTTACTTGACTGAAAGCTTGTAGTTGACGTATGTTTGTATTAAATCGCAATGGGTGATATATTTCGTAAGATGCTAGGTGCCAATCAGTAAGATAATTATTTTTGTCCGTATTTGTATTCAAAATAGTTATCCACGTGCCAAGATAAGGAGGAGCCCTAAAAAGCCTTGTAAGTATATTTTCTGGGTGTGGCGCGTTCAATATTTTTTGTGCTGCCGCCAATAGTTTGACAATAATAGAACTACAACATTGGTCATAAGTTTATATCAAAATCAGCAGCAGTCGCTTCTATATCGAATGTTTTCTTCGTCACTTTCATCGCTATTTGTCTTGAAACGACTTAGAGTAAAAACTAAGCGTCAACTTTGAACTTTGTTTTTAATACAAGTTTCGACGTAAGAGCTCGGTAAAGTTACTTTACCGAGTTCTAGTGTCACATTACCGAGCTGTTCCCTCCTTTCGGATCTAACTTGTCAACGACGCACTTTCCGAACTAAAAGCGATCGGAAACGGACATTTTCTAAAGTGGCAGCACAAAAACATAGTTTATGCATTTATTATTACTTATTAATTGCTTTTAGTGAGTAACGGTAATACAATTATTAATCTGCATTTAATGTTTGTGCTTTATGTATATAGTAGGATCATATTTGATGCAAAGTAATAAGTCATTGCCTGTCAAGGGATCCAGTGCAGTGCGGTTTTAGGGGATGTAGAAATTGAATAATTTCTTGCATTATGAATTGATGAAAGGATCAGTGCACGTCTGGCACTCCTGTCCCTTCAAAAATTCCTTTATTCTCGTAGACTATTTATTTTAAATGTATGTAATTTATTATAAAACCAATATGTTTTTTAAATTCCTCTACTACATTTTTCCTCTGTACGCGCCATTGTTGTTTACTTGTTTTTGGAGACGGTCTCTCATTTATGACCAAGCGTGCCAGGTTAGTATTTAACGTATAACCGACCACTTCGTATACTCGATGCGCCTGGGTGACTACAGCTACCACCAGAACACAGTGCGTATGCAGCGGTATTTCAGATTTTACATTCAATTTAATTTTAAATTGGAAATGGTTCTACTTACGCGTTCTAAAAATGATGACACGATTTTCCTTTGATAAAAGACCGACAATTTTTTGCTGTACTTTGCATCGAATACGATCCTACTATAGTTTTCAAACATTTCACAGGGACCAGTTGTTACAAAAAATAATTTCTGTATACATATAATCCATATAGCTTTTATTTTATTCATTTGGATTTTTTTTAGAAATATAAAAATCAATTATTGTTTTATCCACATACAGGGTGTTTAGAAACTTAAATAGTAAAAAAATCGAAATGTCAAAACCCAATTGGTGAAAATATTTTTTGATGGAAACTTTTTTGGAACTGCTGATTTACAACTTTACAAAAGACTCTGCCATGAAAACTAAAGTAGAATCAACGATTACTTAAAATTGAACCAGCAATTTTTCTGTTTATTACAAAAACAGGACAAAAAAATCAGATGAAGCACCATTTACGTACATCAATTATTCACCATTTTTATGTAGTATGTAACTCGGGTACGATCCCAGTGGTTCTCAATAACTTTTAACGGCCATTATTAATTTTAAGTGTCATTTTGCAGCTGGAACGATTTTCGTTATTGAAATCGACGTTTTACACACCGTTAAGAAATCACCTCTAAGTTTGCAAACACTCTGTATAATGTTAACTAAAAACTGTCTCGTTCTCAAATCAGGAAAAGTACATGTGTCGTTTGCGATTGTAATGTGAAAATTTTTGAACGAATGGTGCCATGTCTAAGTTTACGGTAGCTTTTTATGATACAACATATTTTATATAGATATATACAAATATATTATGTATTTAATAAAATTTTAATGAAAAACTATTCTTTTTATTTCTCACACCTTCCAATTCTTGTTTAATTCTCCTAATCCGAAATTCAGAAGCGCCATCTAATTCTTAAGAGTCCAATTAATTCGTCACAGAAGCTGAAATATTACAGTTACCTATTTTCCAAATAAATTGGTTAGAGTTATTGTAATCTTGTGTCATTAGATAGCGCAACCTTAGTACTATTGTGATTTCTTGTCACTAGATGGTACAGGCATAGAATTAAATGCATTTTAATTGGTTAGTGCGATTCTATTCTATTCCTTCGAGTGAAAAAGTGTTTATAGAATCAACTACATGATTTAATTGTAAAAATTAAAATATATATCTAGATGCGACACCGTTTGAGCCCTAGATAAATGATACTGGTTTGAGCTGTAAAACGTTGTGTTGTATAATTCGTTTGGCTAGTGGCTTAGTTATCGAAGAAAACTGAATATCTCAAAAGTTCCAATCGTTAGAAGAGAGAATCAGATGTTTTAGATTCATCGCAGTTGCTAGGGGATTTTTTTCAGATATTTTTGGGCCCTAAAATTTACTGAGAAAATCAATCCATGAAAATTTTCAGAAAATTAAAGTGCTCATCTAAAGGCGGTACCTCACGCTACTGGGGTCGCTGAACACGCTGGGTTGATCAGTATTTGTGCAAATGCCCCCGTTAAGGAAAAAATCGAAAATCTGGAAAACTGACGAAGCTAGAGAGGAACTGTATGCAGTTTTGGATTTGCCAGTATCGTTATAGTCCAGGGGAATTTTTTCAGATTTTTTTGAGACCTAAAAGTTTTTAAGAAAATCGATGGACTATAAGTCCATGAAAATTGTCAAAAAATTAAAATGACGTCTAAAGGCGGCACCGTATCTAGTTTGAGCCGCAGAATACGCTAACGTACTCCGTTTGTGTAAGTTGCTTTCCTGAAGAAAAAAATTGAATATCTCGAAAATCACACGAGCTCGAGAAAAATTCCCTCGAGTTTTGGATTTGCCAGTACTGTTATAGTACAGGGAAATTTTTTCATGTCTCTCATACTGAAATAATATATACCCACTTGAAAAGCAGAAAGCGCCTTTTAACTGCTAAAAGCCCAGTTCATTTGAGTATTTGTACGCAAAAGAATTGAAGTTTGAAAATTTTTGTAGAGAGCGCCATCTAGTTTCTAAAAACTCAATTAATTCAGAACAAGAACAGGGGTTACCTCAGTTACCTATCTTCCCGTGTTGATTTAGTTAATGTTTATTCACGTTAGATGGCGCCATATGTAAGTTCGAAAAATTAAAACTAATATTTGGTTACTGTGATTCACCGACTAGAAAATATTGGAATAAATTACTATTTTTAAATTTGTAAAAAAATTAAAATGCTGTCCATACTTTCTCCCCTGAGCGCTAGAGAGAATTTCGATGCATACAGTCTAGAGAAATTGATAATCTCAATTTGTATTATACAGGATGTCCAGGTATGGGGAGGTCTTGCAAAAATAATATTACTAGTACTATAATTTTTTTTAATTTGGATTCTCCCTGTGGAGTCACTTTTGAGTAAATGTTGTTGCTTGAACCTTTTTATTAATACATTCAATTTACCGATAACCACTTTGGCGACCTGCGGACAAAACATCCTCAGCAGTCTTGGTCTACTTTTTTAAAATTGTTATTGCCGTTTTTAAAATTTTCAAAATTTTTCAAAGAGAAATTTGTATATTTGTTTGTTATTGATGGTACAATGAACCGTTTCCGAGATATTTTTTGAATTTTTGTGATTTCTGACAATTTTCTGAATTTTAAAGTGAAAAAGGTATATTTATTTGTTATCGATGATACTATAAACCGCTTTCGAGAGAAATTTTGATTTCGTCATTGTTTTTAACACTTTCGAGTATTTTTAAGTATAATCGTGTGTTATTGATGCTACGATTCGTTTTCGAGATACTGTTTTAATTTTTGTGATTTCTGACAATTTTGTGACTTTTAAAGTGAAAAACGTATATTTTTTCGTTATCGATAATACTACACACCGTTTTCGAGAAAAAATTTTAATTTCGTCATCGTTTTTAACACTCATGTATTTTTGAGTATAATTGTTTGTTTTGGATGCTACAACGATTCGTTTTCGAGATACTGTTTTAATTTTTGTGATTTCTGACAATGTTGTGACTTTTCAAGTGAAAAACGTATATTTGTTTGTTATCGATAATACTACAAACCGTTTTCGAGAAAAATTTTTAATTTCGTCATCGTTTTTAACACTTTCGTGTATTTTTGAGTATAATTGTTTGTTTTTGATGCTATAATGAACCGTTTTCAAGATATTTTTTAATTTTTGTGATTTCTGACAATTTTGTGAATTTTAAAGTGTAAAACGTATATTTATCTGTTATTGATGATACTACAAACCGTTGTCAAGAAAATTTTTAATTTCATCGTTTTTAACACCTTTGTGTATTTTTAAGTATTTTCGAGATATTTTTTCAATTTTTGTGATTCTCGTCAATTTTAAGAATTTTAAAGTGAAAAAAGTATATTTTTTTGTTATCGATAATACTACAGTTTTCGAGAAAATTTTTATTTTCGTCATTGTTTTTAACACTTTCGAATATTTTTAAGTATAATTGTTTGTTATCGATGCTACAACGAATCGTTTTCGAGATATTATTTTAAATTTTGATTTCTGACAATTTTGTGAACTTTAAAGTGAAAAAGATACATGTTTGTGATCGATGATACCGTTTTTGAGAAAATTCTTTAATTTCACATCGTTTTTAGCACTCGTTTTTAACAAACCGTTTTCGAGATTAATATTTTATTTTTGTCACCGTTTTTAACGCTTTCATACTTTTTTAAGTGAAAAAGGTGCAGTTAATTGTTATCGATGATCTGTTTTCAAGGTAAATGCATTTAACGATAAAGACACTGTACCAATCCCGATATATCAAAAGATTTCCCCTCTCCCTAATATTTGCTAATCGTAACAAAAATGTGAAAATAACAATCGTTTATTATTTAACGATAATCGACAAAAGTTTCCAATTCATTAGTCCATTATTTTCAAAATGTGTCAAAAATGGAACGATATCTTCATTAAACGCTTTTATCTCGGAAACAGTATGTTGCACCGATACCGACAAGTACATTTTTTTTACTCGAAACATAAAAATCGTAAAAATGGCAAAAAACGTTACAAAAGCAGGCCTATAAATATTTTTAGGGAACAACGCTGCCAGTACCGCTCCGCCCCCAGACCCATCGGTAAAATGAAATTTAACGAAAAACGAAAAAAATACAAAGAAAAAATGGTTTTGGACTCGACACAAGCCGAATAAAAAAAATTATATGAACCTGCGCTGTTATTTTTAAAAGTCCTAATCAAATTTAAGAGATTTCCTACCATTTCCTGGACACCCTGTATAGTATACTGGAATTTTTTTAGGAAGAATCAGCGATTTCTTATAAATTTAAAAAAATTAAACAAACAAAAAAATTAAACAACGTTTATTTGTTCTATGGTTCAATAATCACAACGAATAATATTAAAATTTGTTCGAAACCCAAAATCATCGATACCGAAGGCCGTTAAAAATATCATCAAAGCTTTTTTGATGACACACGCGGAAAATCTCCGGGGAAATTATTTGTAGCGAGATTTCCCTCCGTTTTATACAAGGCGTTAACACAAATACATGTCCGCACACACTCCCGTGAAGTCACAACTAATTTTAGAAATTATGAAAAAAAAAGGTCTATGAATTTTTCCTCGCGCTTTTAGCCACGCCCCGTATAGATTTAACACAAAAACGTCTAATCAGTATTTGCCTACTTAAAAATACAATTTAAAAAGCTACATAGAAAATTTTACGAACACATAATCACAATAAATAATTGCGCGGCGACAAGAAACTCGCTCGACATTCCGTAAGGAAGAAACAACCTTTAAACCTGCTACGTTTTACCACCTTGGAGCGAGAAAACATAAGAAAACTAGACATCCTCCCCCAGCAATTTATTTAGCTCCTTTAACCTGTTCGTTCGATCGGCGCTTGGTTCCTTCTTCAGCAATTCCTCCTTTTCCTTCTTCAGATGCAGCCTGTCGCTGTGGTTGAGAACGCTGAACTCCCAGTACCCCGTACCGTCGAACTGCAGAATGTGGGTGTGAAATTTCCTGGAACGAAAATTGTACCGATGATTACCACCGATAACGTCAAACGACGTCGTACGTACCACAGCGTAGGCCTGTGAGTAATCGTCAACAGAGTTATTCCCATGTCGATGGCGCTTTGATAAATGTGGCTCTCGACGTCTATCGAGACGGCGGAAGTGCATTCGTCGAGCAGGGCGTATTTCGGCCTGCAAGCAGAAAGATAGTCAACGGAATTCCCGCTGGGTCTCGCAATGAGAAAGAGTGACCGCAAAAAAAAAACATTTTTCCACCTGTTTTTGAGACTTTGACAGAGGCAACAGGGAAAATCCTAAAAATATTCTAAAAATATCCAAATATTCGTCATGAAAAATGAAAATGAGCATCACTTTCACTTTTTCGAAAATTTTCGAAAATCACCCTTATTTAGGGGTTGAAAAGACGAAAAAGTGAACAAATTAAGAATCATCAACAGTTGTAAAACCCCAAATATTTCAATGTTGTTATCAAAATAATATTATGAACGTGAAAATATCTAATTTCGTATTTGATACGGTCTTGTCCGGATTGAAAATCAACCCTTAATATCCCTAAAGGGGTAATCATCCCCTAAACGCCTAAAAATGCAAAAAATATATTAGTTACAATTTTTTTTCTTTTATACGTGATAATTGAACCGTTAATAACCCAGAATCACTAGATCCGAAGGAAAATACCCCGAAATGAGGGTAAAACCACGTCGGATCTAGTGACTCTGGGTTATTAACGGTTCAATTATCACGTATAAAAGAAAAAGAAAAAAATTTTTACCTTTTGATAAATTTTTTGCATTTTTAGGAGTTTAGGGATAATTTTTCTCCTTTAGGGAAATTAAGGGTTGATTTTCAATATGGACAAGACCTTAACAAATACGAAATTAGATATTTTCACGTTCATAATATTATTTTGATAACAACATAGAAATATTTGGGGTTTTACAACTAACTGTTGATGATTCTTAATTTGTCACTTTTTTTGTCTTTTCAACCACTACATTTTTTGAAAAAGTGAATGCTCATTTTAATTTTTCACGAGTTTTTGGATATTTTTAGGATTTTTCCTGTCGCCTCTGTCAAAGTCTCAAAAACAGGCGGATTTTGCGGTCACTCTTTAAAGCGTTTTGCGACAAATTACTGTTCATGAGATGTTTGTACTGGAAGGGAATTTAAATTCATAATCATAAACAAATGGACATAACTGAGGCCTGAGATTTCTTGAATTTTTGACAATTTTTGCCTTTAATCTGTACAAAAAGGGACAAATTGTACACGTTTTGGCAGTTCCTTGTGTTTTTTGAACAGTGATAACCGCATCTTCGAATTGTTTACTGTGATTTTGAACAAGTTTTTAAATCGTGAGGATTTTACGATTCTGTAGAGAGAATTTTTATTCAGGGCACAAAATCCAGACGCAAATGAAATGTTTTCTGTATGACTTCCAATATTGCAGTTATAATCTAAACTTAAATTTTTTTAATTGTAACGAATATGTGCTTCTGTGTTTGAAATTCGAGTAAAATTCAAATGTTAGACACTAATGCAAAAAATTAAAGGGTAAAAAATTTAGAAATTTTTTTTCAGAGAAGAAAAAGGGTAGATTTGAAAAAAAATGTTTTTTACGTTATTACAGACTGCTCAAAAATTAACTAGAAATTTGTTTGGGAAGGTTTTCCCAAAAAACAAAAAAAAAACGGAAAAATTTTGAAAATTCTTCAATTTTTTTTTATCAATTTAAACGTTATTTGCGGTAGAAATCGTGAGAAAACCTCAAAAAAAAAATCCATTTTAATCATGATTATGAAGTGTTTAAGCTCAAAAAACGTGACCCTTTAATTTTTTTAAAAAGTATGACTGTTTGAAACAAAGAAACGGATTGCTAGATCGAGATGAAACTTCACAGGGTTCTTCTGGGTATATTGAACTGTAAAAGTCATGCTTAACATTAGTCATTTCTTGAACATTTCTAATTTAGCCGTCAATTTTCTAAAAAACTATAAATTACCATTTTTCTCCCATTTTTTAAAATTCGTGTACGATATGAAAAAAAAAATTCCGAAAAGTTGCGGCAACATGTTATAGGACATTTATTACAGTTTTCGAAACTGCTCTTCAATTCTTTGTACGACCATTTGTCGCCGAGATATCGATGATTGAAGACAAAAGGATCCCTTTCTATTAAAAGTCCAATATTTCGAAGAATAATGGTCGTATCGAAATTTTAAAAAAAGGAAATTAAAGCTGAATAAACCAGTTATCTGGTTCATGCAATGGTTTAGCTGGAATAAATTTTCCAAGTCCGTCGACTCAAAAAAAAAATTGCAAAATTTTTTTAAGTCACTATTTCTTAGAATTGCATGATAATCGTAGCCCCTAAAAAATTTTAACCGAAAGATCTTAAAACTAGAATCTGAGAGCTTCAAAATGCTTTTTTTTAATTCAAAAATGCTTCAAAATGATTAATTTTAATTTTTCACCTAAATAGTCGTGTCAAAAATCAGGTAAAAATTTCGAAAATTCTTTTGACCCTTCAATTTTTTGCATTAGTTTATAATAAGGCATGAGATTTTGTCAATTTTTATTTTCTGTAATGCGCAATTTTTCACACAATTAAGTGTGCCATGGACGTGCCGACGTTTCGATACAAAAAATTCATGGCACACTCAGTTGGGCATAAAACCATTGAATTACAAATAATTTTTTCAATTTTTACATTGAAAACACTTTTTCGTATAAATATCAATTACGATCATTTGAATGGAAATTTTAAGCAGGTTAAATACAAAAATGGAGTGTTATATTTAAAAAGATATAACTTTTGGTTAAAACCTACCTTTTTTTAAATTAAAAAATATTTAAAATTTTTCGAGTTATAACGATATTTCGAAAAAAGATCATCTCGATAATCGGCTCTTCTTGCTCGACGAATAGTCGTAGAGAAACGAATCAGGGCTAATTTTTTTCCTTAAGAGTTGTACTTTCACGGTAAAAAAGAGCGAAAACGATTTTATTCATATCAAGTGTCCAAAAATAACTTTGAAAAAAGGAAAAATTTTTTGGTTGCATTTTTCTTGAATACCTTTTTCGATTTTCATTTCTCGATAATGTCTATTATAGAAATCGATTGCTGGCATATTTACGCAATTTTAAAAAAAGAAAACGTAGCACTGTAACATTTCAATAGTGGCCTGTGGAATTTTTTGAAAAAAAAAAATTGTCTCCACTGCAGAAGGTCGTAGAGCAACGTTTTCTTTTTTAAGATTTGCGTAAAAATGCCAGCAATCGATTTCTATAACAGACATTATCGAGAAATGAAAATCGCAAGAAGATATTCAAGAAAAACGGGACCAAAAAATTTTTACTTTTTTTCAGTCATTTTTCGACACTTGAAATGAATAAAATCATTATCACTCTTTTTTACCATGAAAGTACAACTCTTAAGGGAAAAAATGAGCCCTAATTCGTTCCTCTACGGCTATTCGTCGAGCAAGAAATGCCGATTTTCGAGATGACCTTTTTTTTTCGAAAAATCAATATCTCGAAAAATTTTTAATATTTTTTTATTTCAGAAAAGGCACTTTTTTTGCTAGCCGAGGGCTACATTTACAGCAAGTAACAAGTTTCAAAACCTTAATTTGCAAGAGATACAACAAAAACAAAGAAAGTAGATTTTTAACGGTTTTTCGATATATCTCGAAAAGTCAATATATTTAAAAATTGAATCGATAGATTTTTTTAATAGCTACAACTTTCTCATTTAACTTTTTTCGAATGGAGTTCGTTTTTTTTTATTAGCGAAAAACCGTTTTTTTTTTACTTTTATGAATTTATTAGGTTAACTTCGCCGTTTATACGCCACAGGAAAAAAAAACACCATGTTTAGAAATTTGTTTCCTATATCACCATATTTTTTGTTTCCATTTGGTATTTTTGTCAGCACTTCTACCTACTGATTGGACTATTTAACAGAATTAAGAAGGGCATTCGAATTATTTGTAATATGGAACTATTGTCAAGAACACTTTTTGTCTCACTAAAACATTGTTTGCAAAGAAAGAAATCCGATAATTCCTCAAAAAATAAAGTACACATTGTCAAATTTGTTGCCACTTGTAATGAAAAGGCGTCTCATTGCGTAGATTAGTTAACGAAAAACTAATTTTGAAAATATTTACAAGCGTGCTCCCATTTCAAATAGGTCACCCTGTATATTTGAATTCGAAACACCCATCGTGCTCCGGATTTTGCCGAAAAACAATCTAAAAAAGTGTTAACATCCCATGAACGGATGTTCAAACGCAACGCAACGACTAACTGTTCATAGGATATTCGCTACCGGAAAACTCACTTGTGATAGAACAGCCTGGCGACGGCCATCCTCTGTTTCTCCCCACCGGACAGTATATCCGTCCAGTCCTTGACCTCGTGGAAGGTATCCCTATCCACGATGTGCTCCAAGTGAACCATCTGCATGATCTTCCTCAAGTCCTCCTCGGTGATCTGCTTGTTGATCATATCGGCGTAGGTGTCGGGGTAGATCACCTGGTCCCTTAGATTACCTGACGGAAAGAGAAAACCATCGGACGCGTCGAAGAAAAAATAACGCCGACTTACCGATAACCATGTACGGCCGTTGCGGTATGTAGAACATGGAATTATTGGGGGTTTGCAGTTCCCCGCCGTAAATGGGCCACAGGCCGCTCAGTATCCTGAACAAACTGGACTTGCCGCAACCGTTGGGTCCGGTGATGAGCAGGTGCTCGCCCGGCTTCAGGTGTAGGCTCAGGGAGGGGCAGACGATGTCGCAGTTGGGCGTTACGATCGGGACGTTCTTCAGGATGATCTCGTTGTTGGTCGAGTGGATGAGCTTGCCTGCGAGGGAAATCGATTTAATTGAAAAGGCGTTTTGGGTAAAAAAAAAATGCCCAACAAATTCTGGGCGCAACGTCGGAAAAGGAACGATTTTATTTATTTCGAGGTACGAATACAATAAAAAATTGTATGTGGTACATATTTTAGATGAGAAAATTAATTGCTTTATTAGATATACTGAAAAATGGAGTCAATATCGTAAAAAAAAAATTATAGTCCGTTTGTTTCCGAGGAAAAAATTAAAATGTGAATTTCAATCCACTCCTTTAAGAGGGTATATCGCCTCATGGGTGCAACTTTCATATAAGGTATTCTTACTTCAATCCTCTTATTTGTGGCTCTACATTCACTGGTACCATTTTTCTACTTCATTTAAAAACACCCTGTAGAAGTTGTAGTATTTTCAACCTTTACATCGCTGGGCTACTGAAGTCTGTAGCGTCAGTCACCCACGTGGCCCCAAATACTACAATCCAATTTAAGTATTATCGTTGTTGCGATAGTGTTTACATTAGTTTTTCAAGTGTCAAAAATAGCTTACGTGTATAGCAACTCCGACTTAATGGATATCGTTTTAATTTATGATGAAGCGAGACAACATTTGTTAGTTCATTAGACGTTTGAATTTCATATTTACAGAATTAAATAGATCCCAAACAAACAAACGAATAAAAAGTCAACGAACTCACCCTTCGCCAACGGCTGGTCCCCCCTGTACTCGATCTCGAAATCCCCGACCTTCTCCTTCTTGGCGACCAGCGTCTTGTGGTAGATGCCCTGACTCGCCTCTTCCAGCACGGTGAACATATTCGCCACCCTCGCGGTATGCCCCGCCAATTCCACGATATCCTTGTAACTGCTCATGAGCCTCTCGACGGCGTTCGATCCGGTGAGGAGCAAATTCTTGGCGGTAGTGAAGTAGTGGGTACGTTCCGAGACGTTGTCGTCGACAACGTCGGGACTGTCGCCGTCCACATCTACCGGCAACGCCAGGGGGACCTCTTCGGCGACGGAAGAGACGGAGGGTAAGAGGAGGTTTTTGGCGAGGCGCGGTTTCGATTTTCCGCTCGCCAGGAGGATCGGCAGGGACACGACGATCATGCCTGGAGGAGAAATTTAAAAATAAATGAAAAAATTTTGGTAGTCGTTAAAACTCCTAATTACCTGTTCCAGACCACACGTACTTCATGAGGAACTGCTCCAACATCACAAACCACAGCTTAACCCCGAACATGTGCTCCAAATGCTCCACCAGTATCCTGTAGGCTCGCCTCAGGTGGCTCTTCTCCACCTTGTGGCCGCCGTAGAAGGCGATCTCCTCCGCGTTGCTAACAATCCTGCCGTGTACGTGCCTGAGGTACCCCTTCTTCTCGGCTTCCTGCGCCACGAGTTGCCCGAATTTGGGCGACACCAGTCTCAGAACCAGGGCGGAGAATACCACCACCCCCGATATTATCACCGGACCCGTTATCAAATTAGCGTTGCGCGATTTGACTAAGTTGGCCAGGGCGATTGTCATCAGGAGTATGTCGAAGCAGGGTTTCGTTATCTGGCCGTAGAGGTGGGAGACGGTGCTGGCGACGGTTTCAATGTCGTCGGTCAGTCGTTGGGCGCAGTTGTCCAGTCTACCGTCGAGCACGGTGACCCTGTAGTAGCTCTGGTTGTGGAAGTAGAGGCGGTAGGAGTGCTCGACGAGCCTGGATCGGAAGTTGAGGGCTATCCTGCTTTCGAGATACCTACAAATGACAATGTTTATAGACAGGGTGTCATAATATTCCTGCGAGCAAAATAGGCTGGACTTTTATAAGTGGAAATGGTAAAGGGGCTTATAATAAACAAAAATAAATAAATGCATGCGCAGGAATGGCGGGGGGTTGATTTAGGGGGTTGAAAAGTTTTGAAAAATTGTATCATTGAGATTTCTGGTGAAAGTTGAAGTCAAACAAAAAGTATCCAATACAAAAGTTGTAGATCATGCAAAAATATACAACTTTCGAACAGGTTTTTTCAGATTTTTCGTTCTTTATTTTTCTTTTCCGCAAAAGCATTTTAATTTTGACGAAACTTGGAGACCTTTCTGTGTCTTAAATAACCACAAATATTTTTAGATAAAAAAATCAAGAAGTTTCCGAGATATTCATTTTTCCAGTCTGAAACAGTTTTTTTTTCAAAGAAAAATTCTACTTAAAAAAATACATCATACAGAGTTCTGCTGGAGAAAATTTTTTTCGTTTTCACATACACTTTTTGGTGAAATAAAAAAATCTGTAATCACAGTACAAAAACATGCTCAAAAATGCAAATAAAAATAAAAAATGACTTGCAACAATGAATTTTTCAGTAATTGTTGATAATTTGTTAAATTAAAAAAAAATTAAAAACTGATTACACCATTCAATTGTACGGAAAAAATACAAAAGAAATTGTGTTTTGTGTTCAATAACTGAAAAAATCATTGTTGCAAAAATAATTTTTTGTTTTTTTTTGCATTATTGATCATGTTTTTGAATTGTGATTGTACATTTTTTTATTTTGGCAAAAAGTGTATGTCAAAACGAAAAAAATAACCATTGTTTGACCCAAAACTTTATTTTTGTACAGTATTACTATAAACCTAAGTCGAATAGTGAATAAATAATATAAATAATATGTTTTTTCCGTAGGATCGATTAGTGTACTTATTTTATTTAAATTTTGATTAATTCATAGATATACAGTGTGTCCAAGATAAGGAATGGGATAGCATTAGCATATAGGAAACGATAGATACGGGGTGGCTCAGATTAGAAAAAGTTGTGGTTTTTTATACCTAACAATATGCCGTTTAAAAAGTTTTAAAATTTCGGGTAGTTCCGGAGATATCCGGAAAAACTCGAATTTTTTCAAAATTGTTTAATTTTTTTCTGGCTTTATTTAAGAACGAATTTTAAAATAAATTGCATATTTACAATGCCACTTTTTTCACTCTATACATTGGCGTCAACATTTTTGCAATCCGACGTTTCGTCTTCGATGTGTCATCATCAGGTTCATTTTTTAAATTAGTAATTGTTGTTTATTAAATATATAGGATATCCTAATATACACAAATCAATTTAAAAAATATAAATACAAGCACACAGTAAGAGGATAGGCAAAATAAGGATCAATTAACACATGTTATTTACTTTTATGTATTTAACAAGCTCTCTTTTAAATGCAATAAGTGACTGGCATCTTTTTAACTTTACTGGTAATCTATTGAAATTAATTAAATACGTCTGCTATTTTTATGACAAAATCTAGTCTTTTAATTCTGAATTAGATGATATTACTATTGTAATCGCTTAAAAAGTTTTTGCTTGTTTGCTTGTTTTAGCTATCATTTAATATTTTTTCTGGGTACGGCTCTGAACGCTTTGAAAATATCTATTGGATGAAGTCATAACAGTGTAAATGTCAATACTGCACAAAGTATCCAACAATTTTCTTTACTATTATCAGCAATACTAATTAGAAATAATAAAATATTTCATAAGTTCGTATTATTTTTTTATTAGGTAAACTTTTTAAATTGTTGATTAAAAAAAATTGTGGATATTTTGTGCTGTATTGAGTTTTATACTGTTATGTTTTCCTCCAATAGATATTTTGAAAGCGTTCAGAGCCGTACTCAGGAAAAATTTTAAATGATAGCTAAAAACCTTTTTATTACAATTACAATAGTAATATCATCTAATTCAGAATTAAAAATGACTAGATTTTGTCATAAAAATAGCAGCGACGTATTTAAAAAATTAACCTGATGATGACCCCTCGAAGACGAAACGTCGGATTGCAAAAATGTTAACGCCATTGGATAGAGCGAATAAAGTGTCAATGTAAATATGCAATTTATTTTAAAATTCGTTTTCAAATAAAGACAGAAAAAAAATAAAACGATTTTGCAAAATTTCGGGTTTTCGGGTTTCGCGTCAACGGTACCATTTCCGCATATGTGTACATTATTATTATTATTGTATTAACATACCGGAATACCGAAGTCGCAATTGTATAAGTAGTGACATCTATTAAAGAAAAGGCAAACGACGAAAACAAAGATGACCACCGGTAGCTAAATTACAAGTGGAAGTGGATCTTATTTGTTGAAGGGCGAAACCGGCTGTGACTATGAGACGCCTTCATTATAGCCATCCTTCCCTATTGCACGGATTTCCCAGCCTGTATGTTCTCTGATTGTCAAGCTGCAATAAAAGCTTTAAGCGCACACAAGATAAGTTCCAAACAGGTGTGGGACTGTTTACAAATGCCGACTTAACTGGCCACCAATAATACAGTTAGACTGTGTTGGATGCCAGGGCATACAGGCATTTGTGAGAACGAGAAAGCGGATGAACTTGCTAGGAAGGGATCCGAGACAGTGTTCATTGGCCCGGAGCCATTCTGTGGCACATCTCCCAGTGTGGTCAGGCGGGCTAAGGGCAAATAGACTGAGACAGAACACAGGAAATACTGGACTTCAAGGCCAGGATATAGCCATTCTAATGCGGCGGCTACACGACAGCGACTTGCTTGCACGGTATGGTTTGCGCAATAAACACGGAATACTGTGTTGTGGCCACACGATGCAGATAAGACCGTGCAGGCTGCAGACACTGCAGGCAGCAATCAGTACGTTTCTCAGGAATATGTATCCAAGCGAAGAATTTTTGGTATTAGCCTCTTTCTATTTTACATTAGTAAAAAAAAATAAATAGACGTCATCGTTCAAGATGGTCAAAAAATGGCTTCTGAACAGAAATATACATTCACATATAAATTTAATGAAGGTTTTGAGAGAAGATCCCGACGATTGGCGTAATTATATGAGAATGGATGAAATGGCGTATACAGAACTACTAGGATTGGTGATTCCTTCATAAACCGACAAAATACTGTAATGCGCGAATCATATGTACAGTGTGTTTCACTTAAAGTCGGGACACCTCCGTATTTAGGAAAAAGGCCTACTTTTTGATATTATATTTTTTGACATGTGATCTTTTCTACGGCCTACAATCATTAAGAAAAGACCCTCAAAAATTAAAAAACATATTAGGCATTTTTTTAAGAAAGAAATGGATTTGATTTTCGATTTGATCACACCTCAAAAGTCTAAATACAAAATTTCATTATTATAGCTTTTACAGGGTGTTCACAAAATAGGTGCAAACTTCGAAAAATTCCACGTATTGCAGAGTATCCTGTATTAAGAGTGGAACATATTTTCAAGATATTTTTCATAATTTTATTAACCGAAAGTATATCCATGCAGTTTTATTGATTTCACTCAAACAGGGTGCTCACAATAGGACAAATTATATATATTTTTTATTATACCACAAATGAGTTTCACAACAAAATAATATTTAAATATTACTGTTTTCTGTTAGTCCACATAATTTGGTATGCACTGTTATTCGTCTCATCTTATTTCTAATAACTCTCCTCAACTGATGTGGTGTTATTTGTCGACATGTTTGTCTATTACATAAAAATCAAGTGGCGTCAAGTCTGCAGCTCTTGACGGCCACTCAGCTAACGGACTGTTGCGACCTATCCACTTTCTCGGGAAATACTCATTCAACCAATGACGTACCTACTATTACCGCATTATGAATAAGTGCTCCATATAATTGAAGGTAGAGGTTCTGTCTTACATGAAGAGGAAATACATGTACTGAATCCCAGAAATCATTGTTTAAAAAATTCATAAAAATCTCGCGTTTAGATTAACGCAAAAAAAGAAGGGCCTAATTATTTGATCACATAAAATCCT